GCTATACTTGGGTTGTATTATGAGTTACGTTCCCTTGTCATGCCTTATGAAATGATGTGTCTTTTATGTATGAATATGGCTTAAAGATGAAAGGAAATGAATGGTAAGTTCACTTTAGGTGACCTAAATGTGGTGCCCTAGTGTGGATGTGGTATGAGATGCTATCCATGCATTGCACAAGGCATAGCATAAGGGTTGCTTGAGGTGAAGGTTCAAGGTAAAGGTAATGGTTTCCATGTGATATTGTTTAAGTGTGAAGTTATGACTTATATGACGTTAGTGCTTGTATATGATGTCTTTTATGTTATTGTACATGATGTTTCTAAAAAGTGGCATAATTCATGGTTTCCAACCAAAATGTCCCCTTTTAAAGCATGTTTTGCATGGTCATCATACTTAGTACATTTCTGTGTACTAACCCATATTCTCCATGTTTTTACTACAAGTGTAGGTTCCGGCAAGTGATTCCTTCTAGCTAGTTTGAAGTGTTGGACTGCTTTTCCTCCAAGACTTGGTATGTCCTCATGGATTCGAGGACAAGACTTTTAAGTTTCCTTTATTCATGTTTTAGACATTTTAGTAGTTGCTTCGATTGTAAAGGATTGTGTCCCTAGTATGCTTTAAGATTGTGTCTAAGTTGGCCATGTGAGATTTAGACTTGTGTTGTATTTCAAGTTCCTCTTTTAATGACGTTTGATATTGTGGATTTAAATGAGTTTTAATTCCGTACTATTTCTATATCGAATGCAATGAAATTCTATGAGGCTTGTATGAGACCCCTTCGGGGTCGAGTACACCGTGTTGCATCCGGGCCTAGACTCGGGTCGTGACACTATCGGGATACCGAGTATGAGATGTGAGTTCAGTATCCCCGCCTATTCGAGACTTCATGTACTTTTTGACTTTTACTTTCGAGGACAAAAGTCTTTTTAGTAGTGGATGTTGTAATGACCCTTTAGATAATTTTCTCTGTTTTGTGATAGTTTTGATGTTTAAGTCTTTCCTATATATATGGGAATGGAGTTTTTAAAGCTTGAACAGTTGACTTCGATCAAAACCTCAGATAAACGACCTCAAAATGCAATTTTGATGGTACCTTTAGCTCTGGGGCGTTGAGTCTAGTGTAGAAGGATCCTTGATTTGGGCCTCGGGGATTTTCCAGTCTTATTTCGAGCAACCTTGTGAATTTTGGATAAAATACAGCCTTGGGTGTGGAATCCACTTTCTGTGGAAGTTTCAACATCTCAATTGATGTTTCTATTGCAAAAACATATAAAGACTTCACTTCTATCCTTTCCAAATTTGTGTATAATTTTTTTGAGAATTCTATTGCAACAAGAGTTCATGATCGGAGTCCAAGTTGTACTTGTCCCTGACATGTTGTCTTTTCTGTATCTATTACTATAGATATAGATACCCTTGATGAAGCCAAAGATCTAGATGGCAACAAAAATGTTAGAGCTCCTAATTCTTCATCCCAACATCAGTTTTGACTAAAAGAAAAAAATTGGGGAAGAAAAGAAAATTTTCTTCGTCTCAATTGGAAATTTATGAAAAAATGAGTATTTTTTTGGAGTTATTTATTATAGGAAATAATGGACCTGGCTTTGAAGAATGTAAGAAAAAATTGGATGAATTTGTGTCACGGACTTAAACTTCCACTAAACACATTGTGTGACACCGACAACTCACTCACAAAATTTTCATGATCTTGCAAGGTCAAGTAAGACTTTTTAATATTAGATTTCCAAGGAAATGTTGAATTAAAGAAAGACATAAGAGAATTGTCAAGATAAGTTTTTATATTGCTCAAAACTTATAAGATTTGCATGATACCTTTACAAATGAATGTTAATCTATTTATACTACTCACTTGAGGGCTAATTATTTTTTATGATCGTAGTGTCCAGGTTAGTTTTTGCACACCTCAACTAATTCTATGGGATACCTACTACCTCCCACCAATAATAGGTACCAAGAAACTCTGTCACCAAGGCTAGGATAGATGGAAAAAATCACCTAGTATTTTTGTCTCTACTGAAATTTGAACCTAAGACCTCATAAATCTCAACCACTTCATTTGACCATTAGGCCACACCCTTGGGTGCCTAGGTCACATTCTTGGGTGCAATACTAGATCATTAAGGAAATGTTGAAGCAAATAATCTAAGTCTTAAGATAATATAAATTGTGTACAATTCAATATTCCAGAATTCTCTACACAAACATAATAATTCAATGACTTCCATGCAAATCCATGGAATTTTAAGATCTTCCAAGAAAAATCTCCTCGTCTCTAGAATATTCCACTAAAAACTAGTCTTCTTTCTTTATAAATTTTCCATATGGACACTTTTGTAACACGTGACACTTAAGTGGCATGATGATGTGATAAATCATCACACTATCCCCTACATGATGTTGAGATGACCATGATAATGTGCATTAATTCTTAGATCTTGTCTTTGAATTGCCAAAAGTCTTTATATCGCTCCCACATGGTTTCCTCTGATGATTGACCTTTTTAAGTGAATAGGAAACATGGCAGTGGCTTTATGCCCTTGTTTTCTCTTGGCCTGGTAGTCAATGATAGACGCAATCTCCCGATCATGCAATGTGGTGATGGTAACTAATGCCCAACATATTTGAATTTGGTTAGGATCATCTTTGTTGTCATGGTATGGCTCGAGCACACTATGAAAGATGGAATGAACCTTAAAATGAGGTGCTAATTCTAGCTTATATGAAATCTTTCCCACCTTGGCAACGTTCCTAAACTATCCCTCATACTTTCGTACAAAATTTTGGTTCATATCTTATAGTGCCTTAAATTGTCTTTGGTTAAACTTCACTAAAACCATGTCCTTAACCTTTTAATATGTGGGACGACATTTACGGTATGAAAACTTATTCACCTTCTTTACTACCTTGTACTAGTAGAACACTGTCAAGTAGCTCCTCAAACCCTTTGACCATATGGTAAGACCATAAACTCATGCCCACGCACAAGAGCAGTAGTGAATGTGGTGTTTGTAGTTGATAGTCTAGGCTAACACGAATGGTGTCAGCCCGATAAACTCTCTTGGTTTCAAGTTATATGAGAATTGGGTTAGGTCTATGAGCCTTGCCCAATCTTTCTGATGTGAAGTCATAAAGTGCCTCAGGCTCCAACAAAGCATTGACCCGTTCCATCCATTCATCCATCTACAGGTAAAAATTAGCGGAGAAAAATGCAACTGCCTGCCAAGTATATTGAACAAATCTCTCCAAAAGTTTCCTATAACATACGGGTCTTGATCGCTAAGATGTGCGTCGACAAGACCCAATACATCATCACGTTCCTGAATAATAGTTTGGTAGCCTCTTTAGTAGTGCAACTTGTTCTGGCAGGCATTAAGCTTGCATACTTCAAAAATCTATCCACCACAATCATTATCATCCTATATCCATCAAACTTTGGCAAGTAAGTGATAAAGTCCATCATCATACTCTCCCATGGATGTTGTGCAATCAGTAATGGCTCCAAAGGTCCTCTGAGTTGTCGTTGTTCCTCTTTATTCTATTGGCACACAAGATAAGCATGCACATAACATTTAATATCATTACGCATGCTCGGGAAATAATAAATTGATTAGATCAAGGCCTTTGTGTGATGTTGGCTCAGGTGCTTGACCCACAACGTTTTGTGACTTCCCTTCATAATTTTCTGCCTAGTGTCTCCAAACAGAGGCATGTAGACCCACTTGAGAATATGTTGAGTCGTGCATAAAAGAATAAAAGACTGCCAACTCCATAAGTTGCTTTGCTTCGGGTCTGTGTTACATACCATCCTTAATAACATCTCTAGTGTAACAACTAGTTGTGGTGATGGAAGCAAGCTCAGATATCCTTCTCAAAGCGTCATCCACAACATTGATATAAATTTTGTAGAAGTCCTTATTCTAGAATTCTACCGTCTTCCAAGGGAAATCTTTGTCTTTAATTAGAATATTGCACTAAAAACTAGTTTTCTTTCTATGTAAGTCTTCCACATAAAAGACTTTGTGTCATTTGACGCTTAAGTGGCATGATGACGTGGCGGGTCATCACACTTGGCTAGGATGAACCATTGTATAGAATAATTGTTAGTATATTTTGTGAAAGTGACATATATACGAAAGCATGAGTGACGCTAAAGGTTTAAGAGTTAGAGAATTGAATTATGGTCATAAAAAAAATATCTTTAATTCTGCTAATTAGCTAGAGCTAGAATATACGTTAGACATTAAATATAAATACATATTCAAATGTGTATTTATATTTAGATATTTTAATTTTAATGCACATCTTAAATATTCAGATATTTATTCATGTCCAAACGTCTTACTTTTAATGAAAACAAATGATCAAACTTCCAATTAAACATATCCTACTATTAAATGTAAAACTGCTACGCAAAAAAAAATAGTCAACCAAACTCTTGGATTAGTATTCTTTCATTATTATCTTGACCGAAAGAGAAACGAAATGAAAGTGGAAAAGGAAAGAAATAAAGATAGAAATTCAATCAAGTGAGAAACTATGGTATTTTGAACAACCAACAGAAAATATCAGATTAATTTTAAAATACATATACATAAAATATCTAATTTAAGATATAAATTATTGGTTCAGTTACCTCTCATTTTGACCCTGCTCTCACTATCCCAAAAATATTTACCATCTTATGTTTGCATTAAAAAAGTTAAAAATATTATTTCTTAATATCAAATGTAAATAGTAGTAATATTTTCAGGCAAATCTTTTAGCACAAATATTAATATTCAAATTCAAATTTTAATCCAAAAAATTAAAGAAACTCGAAAGCCATAGCATTAAGAAGAGTATTACTTTCTTTAAACAATTGCTGCAAATTAATTGTCCTATTTTAAATGTAACTGAGAGTTGAAATTTCGAGATTTAATCAATTGAAACATGAAATTAGTTCAGAAGTAGAAGGGATGAGTAATAAATAAACTCACGTTGATAAAATCATTGAGAAAGAAATCCGGCATATATGGCAAACTCCGATTAGTAGACGCCGTAATCGATACCCGGAGCTGGGTCACCGTCGCCGGCAACATCAAATCCTCAATCTTCTCAACATTAGCTCTTTTCAATAGTCCATCGTTATCTATTTTCTTAATATTAACCGCCGAACTTGCTATAATTACCTTTTCTACCCTTCCCGGCAACATTTTAGCCATGTGATAGGCAACAAATCCACCATAACTAGTCCCAATGATGGAACACTTTTCAATACCAAGTTTTTCTAAAAGCTTTACGATGCAGGTTGCTTGAAAAACCTCTGACCTCTGGAGAGATTTGGTTGTAGAACGGCCGAAGAAGACGAGGCTAGGAATGTATAAATCGAAATCATTAGAGAAGAATGAAATCTGTGGACGCCATTGCCAAACGCCGTGAGGACCAAATCCGTGGATTAAGATAAGTGATGGTTTCATTTTTGATGATTTTGGACCCCAAAAGTGGATAGTCGTTTCATCGTCGATTTCTATTGATTGACAAGTTAGGCCGGCGCCGGTCAGACACCGACGGACGAAGCCGCCGTATAAGCCAATTGGGCTGAGCCAAGAAAACATTGTTTGATATTTTGAGCCGTTGCTAGGAAGCCAAGGTATGTGGAGTGCTATGTTTATTTTTAATGTTCAATTATAAATACACCTTCTACATTTTAGAATTAAAAATGTGCTATTATTTATATTTGTATTAGTTATACTGACATAAGTTAAGTTGAAAAATTGTATAATATAGTAAAATATTAGTAATTCAAAAGGTTAATGTGTACATTATTTTTAATGCATCCTACCAAACAAGAATCATTTGGTACGAAGAAAAGGGGATAATAATTTTGATAAAAAATAAAGAGTTGTTTTATTTTGTATTTGATTAGGGGTTTTAGTTATAAGTTTTGAATATTTTTAATTTATTCCGCCATTAGTATTATAATGATAAAATTTTATCCTAAGATAACTAATTTCATAAAATATCTGGATACATCAAATAATTTTATTTATTCCATACCAGGTCAAACAACCGATAAGTCTTAAGAGGTAAAGAATTCTTATAATATCAATTACCTACGAGATGATTACATATAGAGTAACTTTTATTTAAAATTGAAATTGATTTTTGATAACCTAAACACAAAATAAGATACGTGTTACAACATGTTCAAATACAAGTATTTTATACCTAACAAAATTGAATTTTCACGTTAAAATTATTTAAGACAAGCCGATTTGTAGGTGAGTGCGTTTTTCCCACTTCTCTTTTTTTTTTCTTGACTTTTTCATTACAACTTAGCCTATTACAAGGTTACAGATGCGTTAACATTTTTCTTAATATAATAAAAGCACAAATCTACATAATTAGCAACTTGTCTAGACTATTACAAGGTTACAAATGCGGAGCTAGGTGAGGGTTTGTGGGTTTGGATAAATTCAGTATTTTTTTCGTAGATTTTATATTTTTATACTAGAAAATTAATTAAATATATATGTATATTAATTTTTAAACCCCTAACAAAATTAATTGACGATTCTAAAGAAAATTTAGAGCCCCAAACTCTTTATCCTGACTCTGCCTCCGCACGTTATAACAAAATATACTAACACAAAGTATTTCAAAAAAAAATTGTTAAAAAGATATGGTATGATTCTTTCTGTCAATCAAATCAACATACATTTAATTTAATTGAATTGTGGTCCATGGACCATTTAATTAATCAAGAATATCCAGAACAAATCAACATACACTTAAAAATAAATTATAGAAAATTTTCAATACAAAAAACCACATTTTGAAAGTGTTAAAGAACCTTTAGGGTCTACAACTATTTACTATAACCACAAATTAGATTATGCTATAGATTAAAAAAAATTCTTTGCTTTAGGTTTCTCATCCTAAATAAACAAACAAACATATTGGTGATATAGTGAATGTGTAATAAAATTATACATTTAAATTATTTATAACACATCTTTTATCTCACTTGTAATTTCTACTCTTAAATATTATTCATAACTTTTGTGTGTTTCATTTTCATAATTTTTTATAAAATTTAATTAATGTTTAAAAAATTATAATATATAAATGTAACAATAAAGACATAATGAAGAAATTTAGAAGATCTTTTTTTAAGAAATCATAATTTGTATAGAGAATCAAGTACTCCTACAATAGATAGAGAAAATTAAAACATAAAAAATATTTTCAACGTAATACAATCTATTGTTATTTCAAAATATGACCTCTTGTTTTATTTACTACATGAATAATTTGCACTTAAAAAGATGCAAAAAAAATAATAATCTATTTTGTATGTTAAAACAAGATATAAAAATATATCATGGTGTACCTGAAGAGAAATATCAACATGGTCTTATATATCCAACACTAACCTCAATATATATAAATACTAGATAAGACTTTATTAGAATAGGAAGTTATCAATTTAAGAATTATTATAACATCAAAAAACACAGATAATTTCACTAGTTAATAATAAAATACAATAGTTAACATGGGGAAAATCGAGAAAAAAAGAGAATTTAGTTAACTGTGCTAAAAACCTTGAAAGTTCAACCTATCATATTTAAATCTTAAATTCGTCTAAACTCTACCACATTATTATAAAAATCTACTTACATTAAAAGTATAAAGTATTTCAAAAGAATAAGTTGTTGAAAAAATATAGTATTAGTCTTTCTATAAAAACTTTTATTTTAATTGAATTGCGATCCATGTACCATTTAATTAATCAAGAATATCCGAAACAAATCAACACACACTTAAAAATAGATAATATGAAATTTTCAATAAAAAAAGATGTAATGTGGAAGTAAGACAATAACAATAGGTGATAAGAGTTAGATAGGAACTAGAGATGAATGTCGAGTTAGGTGATAGATACCCACTTTTACATTCTTATTATTGAGACACTTGTCTTTTAAATGCATTAAATTCCTACCTACTTGATTATTTTGGTTTTCATCTTCTTGGCCATTATATTAAACTAGTGAATTGAGCCGCGCTTCGCTTCGCGCGGTAATAAGTTTTTTAAATAATTTATTCATAACATGCGAATGATAAAATTGATTTTTTGACGTGCATGAGTAATAAATTTGAAACATAATTTTCCTTTATACATTTAATAATAAGTATTTAACTTTATTTCCTTTCATGGAAAATTTAATCTTTAGTATGTTCATATACTATATTTTAAATTTAAATCTAAAAACTTAGCTACTATATAAATACATGAACTTGTCTAATAGTCCCATTTACATTCTATCCTGGTTCTATCAGGGTATAAAAAA